CACTGCCGTTTCACACAGAACGCTTTGAATCCGTTCTGCTCGTGTTTACGCAGGCATTTGTGCACGACTCGTACGTATTTGTTGCTCGCCGAATCCTAATCTGAGCTGTGAGGCACCTCTTTGTTCCCGGTATCACTCTGAAGGCTGAGCTTGCATCAGTGATTATTTCGTCTGTTATAATCTGCTTCCTGCAGCATCACTCGCTGACGTCACTTTGATGAGATTTTCCTTCAGGGCAAAAATAAAAGAGAGGAGGGGGGAAGAAAGGAACTCAAAAAACTACCACACATGGATATGTGCCAGAGCTCAAGGAAATAAGCCATTAGAATCGCCTCCATTTCAACACCTCAAACAACACCTTCCTGATGGATGACAACGGTCCAAGAAAATAACTTCTTTGCCTCGAGGCCGCGATGGCTGGCACATCCCGAAAATCATCAAACACCTCGAGGATTTCGCCGCAGGGACAGAAATCTATGTGCAATCGATTCAAAGTCGTATGAAAAAATGTCGCCACAGACTCAAAACACTGGATGTGTTTCTATTCAGAGCGCCCAGAGACTGTTAGCCGCCTGCCGTCCCTCAGCGGTACCACCGGAGTCTACCAGCCGTCACTGGGCTGGGCAGCGATGTGAAGTTCTGCTTCTACTGACGAGGTGTGTCGGAAAGTTCCAGGACTGGTGTCACAAACTAAACCCAAACTACAAGCCAGAAGTTTCTCCTCCAGACGACAAACCAGCAAAGAGGTCCTGCAGCGTTTGCTTCATTCAGAGAAGAGGCAGAGTTGTGTCAGGACCAGTGGAGGCTGCTTCACAACCTGCCCACAGCGCCCTGAGCATCCCACAGCTCCTGGCTGAGAAGAACATCAGCCTCCCTACTCACCCCACCTGGCTCCGTGGGGCTGGTTCCTCTTCCCCGAACTCAAGGGGGTCATCAAGGGGACCCAACCAGAAGACGTGGACGACATGAAGATGGCTGTGAGGACGGAGCTGAGAGGATCCTGAATCCTTCCAGGGGGATTACTTAAACTTATAGCTTGGATTTGAAATATATCTTCTCGTGACATCGGTCCTGGAACTTTTCTGACCCACGTCGTAATGCAACGAGAATCCCTTTTTAACATTTCAAAAGAAATCCACGAGCAAAAGTGAATTAAACATCGTGTTATCTGCTTTAACATATTCCTAAACCAGAGCCTCCACTGGGCCGGTTTCATGACCAAGTATCAGAGATCTGCAGGAACCCGATGCTGTCCGTCCTCTTCGCTGTGGAGCCGTGGATGTAGACGCCGGCGTGCTCAGGCTGTGACCTCCTGAACCAGATAATGTGCAGCAGCAGCCTGGAAAGCCTGGGCTCAGAAAACTGTCAGGCAAAGGTCTGAAAAAAGAGAAATCCTGTCCCAAAAATGTGCAAAGACACGAGGTTCAAAGTTAAAAAGAAGAAACAATCTGATGAAAACTTTTAACGGTCCGATGCTTTTAATTTGAAAGCTTGAATCTGTTGTGTCATCACTTTTATGCGGCACCTCCTGGACCCTCCGTTGCTGCTGATGCTGTCCATCAGTCAGGGCCCGACGTGGCTAACGGCTAGCTAAGTGGTGCTAATTGAGCTGGGGCTCTGCAATAATAGTTTGGTGCGATGGCAAGTCATCCATCAGACCAACAGCAGAAAGAAAGTTTAAAGAGGAGAGGAGGGAAGGAGGGCGGACAGAGGGAGAGAGAAATGGATTGGCAGAAGAAGAAGGAAGGGCAGTCCAAAAGAGCAAGAGAGGAAAAAGAAGTGGAGGCATCCAGAGAAAGGAGGGGAGATGAACCGACCTGTGTCCACAACCGGCAGCACATTATCTGGTCACAACACTTTCTGTGCATCCATCACAGACACTTGACTTCGTCTGACACCAACACTCTCTCTTTATAATGCCTTCTATATTTGGCAGACGATGGAATCAGCGTTTTCTCTCTGAGCAGAGCGTCTGCTTTCATTCCCACCAATCACACGAGACTGAACCAGCAAAGAAACGGCGACGCTCCACGTATCTGGATTCTTTGTTCTGCTGTTTCCTGGTTAAATCAGACGGTGGCTGTAAAGCCCTTTCTGCCTCACCCGCCCCGTCTCCCACCTCCACCTCTCCCCCTCTATCACCTTCCAGCACTTCCATTCGTCCTCTGACTGACCCTCATCCCTCCTTCTCTCCATGCTCCATCACTGCTCTCCTTCCTGGATCTCCTCACCCTCTGCTCTCTGCTCAGTCTCTCCTCTTTGGGAGTTCATGTGAGGCTCCAGGTCAGTCAGAGGAGGGTCGTCCTGGAGAACAGGGCAGCGACTTACCAGAGGAAAGCTTAAGGTAACTGAGAATAGATTTTACAAGTTAAACAGACATTAGCTAAACATTGATGGCCGGCTAACGTTACGGAGTGTATCGGTATCTTAAGAGCCGACTCCGGCACCTTCAGGAGGGCACAGGAACACTGTGCTTGTTAGGTAAAGGTTAAATAAAATGTCGCCTTTTGGTATTTTCTGAAATTGGCCCCTAAGTTCTGGTCTTTAAATCCACTGCTGCTCTATTTAGGAATGAACCTGAGCAGCGTTAAAGCAGAACACCAGCAGGTCGACTGAACAAACTGCACAGATTAGTCCTTTATCTGATGCTACTGGTTCACAAGCATTCGTTCCAACATGCTGTGTGTCGGTCTGAACCTTCAGCTTGAACTTTAACAGTAAATAACTGGTGTCGCTCTGAGCTGTCATCCATCCCACTTGAAAACGCATCAGTCAGCGTTTCAGGTTTGTTTTCCACCTTGAAGCTGCGACGGCAACGCGGCGATGACGATAACGAGCTCCTCTGTGCTTCTTTTACAACACGTCTTTTTTGGCATATGCGCTTTCTTTTTTTTTTTCTCCGCACGTCTTCATCTGGAACGAGATGCTCTGACGGTGGTCCTTGGAGCTCGCTTTGAGCAGCGGCAGCAGCAGCGTGTGAGTTAAACCTGTGGTATTTCCAACACAAAGGCCTGAATCCTGCTCACGCTGTGCTTCTCCTCTTTGTGCTGAAACACTTCTTTTCTCTGCCACCCAGCTCACCTCTGAGGTCTTATTTTTTTAAGTGAGACGTTGTTCTCACCAACTGTTGGATCTGACATCTCACCTGCACTGATGAGGCTGCATTTAATGTGTCTTTGGTGCTTTTTGCTATCAGCATCAGACAACATCAACACATCCATCGGACTGTGCACCGGGTCACCTGACAGCGACTAAATATGTAAAACAAAACGGGCTGGATCTACTCTCCTGGTGCTGGTTTACTCTGCTGACACAAATGAAGCACTTCACCAAACCGGACAGAGTAAAATGACAAAGTTAGCATGACGTGCACAATGCTGTCCTGTGTGTGTTTGTGTACTACACACTGAACTCCAGTAACCCCAGTCTGTTCATTGAACACTCATTGATGCACAAACATCTCCAAGGCTTTGGGTTCAAGGGTCTCCAACCACCAATACGTCAACACACAACAAGACCAGATTTTCCTTTAAACCGTCGATAGACTTCAATAATTTCTGAACCTGGATTCAAATATGGATCAAAAAATCAATATTAACCCTCTGAATCCCAAGACAGCTTCAAAAGGGATGTTTTCCTCCAACCTCCCCGAGTTTTAGACGATATATCATCTCATATCCATCCATCCATCCATCCATCCATCCATCCATCATCTCTAACCTTCTGGAGTCTATCCCAGCTGACTCAGGGTGAAGGCAGGTTCACCTGGACAGGTAACCAGTCTATCACAGGGCTACACTTAGAGACAGACAACCAAGCACACTCACATTCACACCTACGGACAATTTACAATCACCAATTAACCTCAGCATGTTTCTGGACTGTGGGAGGAAGCCGGAGAACCCGGAGAGAACCCACGCTGCACGGGGAGAACATGGAGACTCCACGCAGGAAGATCCCGGGTGTCCTCACCGGGACGCCAACCGGAGACCTTCTAGCTAACCACCGAGACACCTGCAGCCCTCATCACATATCATACTGTAAAAACAGAATTTTTAACTTTCCAACGGTCTTTGAATGCACCATTTGTCACGTCTGGTTTGGATACACCCTAAATCTAGGCTTGGATTTGTTTGAATGCATCAAAATTAGTTTATTCTCTAGTATCGAATTCATAAATTTGCCAGAAATAAGTTCTTAAAAATGCAACCTGTAAAAACAAAATAAACTCTCTGGTCTTCAGTCGCTGAGAAGCTTCAACCGACTAAAACAAATCAACAGATAAAACTGGTGCTGTTTGAATGAACTGTGTTTTGCACACGAAGCAAAAAGGAGACGACGAGTGATTTTGAGAGGGAAATAAAACGTATTTTATCAAGAAGTCATTGAGTTGTTCAGCACGGTGAGATACCTTAATGGCTAACATGAAAACACAGTTTGTAGGGCTGTAAAAATGTTTATAGGGCACTTTTGAAATTGTGGTAGAGCTTCAGGGCATTTTTTTTTCACTATTTGCAAAATAAATCATGGAAAAAAATCAACTTTGTGTTAGTTTTATGGCACAAAGGCAAAATAAAGAAGTAGTTTGAGTTCTGTTTCCTCTCAGCTGTTAGCATGCTGTTTCCATGGAGGTATAAGGAATAAAAAAAAAACGCCCAGAGACTTAAAAATGGTAAAACGGTAAAAATAAAAACCAGCATCGATGCAGCTCCATGCTCGCTCCATCCGACCCATCCGCTGTATAACGATCAGCTTTTTGCCGCCACAAAACTCACCTTGAATCAGCTGCATTTTTTAATTAACTGACACGTTCTACTTAACAGGAAACGTCACCGTAAAAACATCCAGGACCTCTGATTAACAAACGCAGAGCGCTAACACCGCCGCGGCCTTGAAGCAGGAGAATCAGAGACGCTCTCAGACGTTTTATTCGCCTGCAAACACTCGGTGCAGCAGCAACACGAGCTGCTGGATGGCAGAGAGAGAAATAAAAAACCTACCGCTCTGCTGTGGAGGAGGCCTTTCTCTGGCACATCACCGCCAACGAACTGCTTCCCGGCGCCATTTCCTGTTTGATCTCCCACGCGACGAGGTTGCTGGGCTTCACAGCCAGGAAGTTGATGCCTGACTGGAACCACACCCTGCAGCGAGGAATCAAGCAAACAAAGGAGAAGAAGGGGAGGTTAATCCAGAGTTCACACCAGCACATTACAACCAAAGCAGGAGCTGCGGCGGCGACAGTTCAGCGGGAATTTGCTTAAAACCGAATCTGCTCTGCTTCAAATGTGCCTGCCCTGATTTTCTCACTGATTTTCTTTAATCTCTGATGCTCTCTTTGTATAAAATATCTTTTAGAATTGATTGGCGCAGCGTGGCGTCGCCTCCCACGCCGTGTTTTGGTGGAGAAGACAAAGGAGTGACAAGAGGAGCTCTTATGAAAGTTAACGGGTTTTTTTTCCACCTGAATAATCGGCTCGTGGGATGAATCAGACGAACGCTGAGCAGGAGATCATATCTGATACAGAAAACGCAGCTTCATGAAGACGCTGATGAGGAAGGAACAAAGTGAGAGTATTTATTTAACTGATATGATTCAGGGTTTTGTTTCTAAATTCATTCTGTGCTGCTGTAAAAAATGTCTGAATGGAGAGAATTCCTGCTTTTATTATACAGATGTTTTTAGTTTTCTTAAAAATATACAATAATAATAAGAAAATTACACAAATATAAACAGAATGTACGTTTACTTTCAATAAAATGGGACCAGTTGAGGATTAAACATTTAAAAAAAACAAAACATACTTGATATTATCTAAAGTTTTTTTTAAAGTTTATTCTGTAAATATAATAACAAGCACTTGTTTAATAAGATCAGTTTTACATTTCTTTAAAGGTAAATTAGTTTTGTATTTAAGCAATCCCCTGTTAATAATAAGGATTTATTAATTACACAAGTTGTCAAACTCAGGCTGTAATTAACATTTAAATAATTATAAACTTGACAAATAGATTTTTTAAATCAGATTTGTAAGTAAAGTTATATATAAAAACTCATTATGAATTTATTCACATGTAAATATCCTTCATCAAACTTTAAAAATCCCATAAATACACATGAACTCTTGTAAAAATGAGGCTAGAAACTATATTTTAATGTGACTAATTACTAACCCACAACACAAATATGCACTCATTACACTTTAGATGATTTAAAATTAAAAGTAAATTATTGTATTTAGAAACCAAAAACCAAATTAGTTTTACATATTTTACATTTTAAGTTTCTTAAAACCAAGTTAGACAACAAAACCCACCTGATAATGGTGTTTTTCTTTCGTATGTGGCCTGATTTATATCATATATGATGTATTATAACATTATTTGATGTGATTTATAAGTAATTTAATACTTTTTAAAAATGTAAATATAATTTATTAAATGTTTAAAATGATTTCATTTCATACTGAAGCTAAAAACTCTGTTTACATTCTGGATAAAAACCGTATTTTATATTTTCTGTTCACTTTTCTTTTCTTTGCAGTTCCTTTTTCTCTCTTCTTCCTCTCATCAGTGTGTCTTTTGCCACTTTTGCTTTATTTCCTTTTTTTTCATGTTTCGTCTATTCTTTCCACTTCCTGTTCGTGTCCATCACTTTCTTCTTCCTCCTCTTCACATTTCTTTTCTTCTCTCATCATCTCTTCCTCTATTCTCTCTTCCAGCTCTGTTCTCCTTACTCTCCCTGCCTCTTCTTCATCCAGGTTTTCCTTTCCTCTGGATGATTTCCTCCTCCTCATCCTCCTCCCATCCTATCCCGCCTCCTCCTCCAACCTCTTCCCTTCCAGATGTCCTCCTCCTCTCCGTTCCTCACCGTTCCCTCGCTGCTCTCTCTCCTTTCTTTTCCCTCTTTCATCTCTCCTTTCCTTCTTCCTCCTCACCTCCTAAAGCTTCCCTTCAGCCTTTCATCTGTCCCTCTGTGACTTCCTTCCCTCCCTTCCTTCCTTCCCTACACACCTTGCTTCGTCCCTCCCTCTGCCCCTCCTCCATCCTTCAAGGCGTCCTGTGGTTAATCTCTTTATTTTACTTCCCTCTGTCCCTCTCTCTCTCTCTCCTTCTCTTTCTAATCCGTCCCGGTGTGTTTTGTTCTATTTATCACCTTGACGAGACCCTCCCTCAGTTTATTAGCACACTTTATTCACACACACACACACACACACACACACACACACACACGAGCTTGTTTACTGCTTTCCTTATGAACACACACTCTCTGGCAGACAACAAACAGCAGCTCGGACGGACTCTGGAACAAACTTTTTCCTCGACACAGAAGGGAGAGAAAAAAATAAATAAAGAAAAGCCAATCCTCTTTGTCTCCTCTCTCATTATTACTTTCTTGTGTTTGTCTCTTCATGTCTTGCCAAAAAAACTGCTCGCAAATATGTGACGGCCGTCCCTCGACAAGCTCCCCGTACGTATGTTTGCATGTATGCATGTATATATATATAGATGTATGCGTCCCTGTGTGGACGTGTTAATAACAATCTGAACAAGCTGCTTTCAGGTGTTTGGCACAAAGACGGGATCCTCTGGTGGAAACTTGGAAACCTACTTTTTATTCACTTTCCCTCTGAAGTCATTTTCCTTGTTTTAAAAGGAGGATAAAACGTTCCCTCGCTTTTTGTTTATGTGCTGCGATTATGACAAAAAATGAGGAGGAAAGAAGTTTTTTTTTTTCCAGGACAGGCGGCGCTCATTGTTTACGAGCAGAAGCTTCTTTTTGCAGCAGCAGCAGCAGCTCGGCACAAAATAACTGGCGGTCTTCTTAAAAACCATCTTTTTTATAATTCAACAGCTGCAGAGTTTCAGGAAAACTCGGCGGCGTTGTTGTGCCTTTCTACCTCGTCCCTCTCTCGCCCGGCTCACTCCCCACCGCCGTCCTGCTCGACCGACGGCGAGCCGAAGATAATCCGCTTCAAAGGGACGTTACTGCACCGGCACGGCGGTGACAAAAGCAACGAGTCGGGGGGAGAACAACCAAACTAGGGGATGTAATGTGAACGACAGACTGACAGGAATGGAATATGAGGAAACCGGGACGTACACCTGAACACCGGCTGAGGAAAAACTCATTGCAGAGATTTTTCGATGACAAGGTCGCAGCAAAGACAAACGATAAATAAAACATTCTGGAGAAATAAATTAATAATAAAAAGTCTCCAGCGCTTCTAAACAACAACAACAAACCCTCATGTGAGAGCACACGAGTCCTGTAACGCTGTCATGTCGTGTTAAATTATTCACCTCCACGTAACGGACAGAACTCGTCAGGTCAAGAGCGCACGGCGCTGGAGAGAGAACGCTAATCATCCCCCAACGAGGAGGCGGCAGCAGGGAGGAAGAAACCTTGGACACCGCCGGGCTGAGGGTGGACGGCTGATGTTTTGATCGGACAGCGGCGAGAGGAAAGACGAGCGGCGAGAACAGCGAACACCAAACACAGGGAGATCAGAAACAACCAGGTACAGGAAGGAGAGGACAAAGCACCAACTGTGGGAGAACCAAGACGAAAAGTTGACAAATGACCTGTAAGATGCACCGAGTGGAGCAGAGGAGGGTGGACGAGAGGGGCCCAGTGCATGATGGGAGATCCTGCAGAGTTTTAAACCCGTCCAGCAGACGCTCGTCCTCTCGTGATCCCGCTGCAATGACATTTCTTCCACATTCAAACCCTTTTCGAGTTGCAACCAAACCAGAACCCGGACTGTGACAGGCGTAGAAAAGCAGCCAGAAGCCGCCTCCGTTACAGAAAGTAGGAGCTGAACACGATGAGGCCGACGGACGTAGCGTCTGAAGAGCGGCGACCAAACAGGCAGAACACACGTGTTTTCTACAAAGCGTTAAACTCCCGATCAGGCTGGAGGACACCAGAACCTCGTGGTGTTTCCTTTCACTTGTCCACGCATCCTGAACCCGGTTCTTCTGACCTGTTGCGCTGATGTGAGCGGGTCATAATTACCGCTAACGTGACAGAGTTTGGTCGATGTGAGAAACCTGGACTCTGCTCTGCAGCTCCTCTCACGTCCACAAAGTATTTCAGTGTCACTCGGCTCATTGATTTGCTTTTCGAAGCCGTAGCGTCGCTGTTTTAGCTCATTTTTACTGCTCTCATCAGCTTCCACCAACAGCAGGCAGCTGTCTTTGGCTAAAAAAAGAGAAACACAGGCTCTCATAAAACCACTTTATGCTCCCTGTCCAGGACCAGAACAGCCGACACAGAGTTAAGCTTACAGATAATTCCCTCTAGGATTTGGAAAAGGAGCGAATATTGAACTTCACGACATGCCCAGAAACACAATTTCAGATCTAATGTGGCTTCATATCTGCTGGATGTGTGAGTTTGCAGCTGTTTCTATCACAACTGTACAGAGCTAATGAAGTACGTAGGACCCTGTTGGAGCTGCTGGGTTTGGTGTTATATTATGTCGCCATTTAGAAATTAAAATCTGACTCATGAAAACTCACCAGAATCACCACAAACACACCAGGACTCGCGAAAATGTCCATATATATATAAATATATAAATAGAAACTGTCCATACAACAATTTCCTTGAGGTTTGCACCAAAGGGATCAAAATAAAGTTCTATTCTATTCTAGTTCTATTCTATTCATATTTTAAAGGACTTGGACGTGTCACTGCCAAAACAGCTCCACAGCGCCCCCCTGAAAGCTTCAACAGAGTCCCATCGGAAGCACGTTTGGTCCAGAGCGATGACATTTGGTCATAGAGGAGGTCAGGACGCACAAAAAACTCACCAACTCTAAAATGCAACACGGCTCAACTGCGCCCCCTACAATATTTCAACAGAGTCCCACCGGGGCTACGATTCACTTAGAGCTACGATATTTGGTACACATGTGTAGCAGCTCGGGACGCACAAAAAAGTCCATCAGCACGTTTCTGTAAACCCAACAGGAAATCCGCCATGTTGGAAACACGGCGAGCATCACACCTGCCGCTTTTGGCTTTAATTCATTCTGCTTTCACTAATATTTCAGTAAACTTGTTCCTCCAGCGGTTCTGGTTTGCCTGGTTCATGTCTCTGACTAGATTCAGGTCCGCTACATGTCTTCACACATC